ACAATATTATATCCCCATTCAACAATATTATTTCATCACTACTCCAATCTATACAATTAATAAAAACAAAATCCCTTTGGAAGAATGACCAGGGATCGAGTCTCACCAGCGGCAGTGTGGGAGCAACCTCTCAAAGTGAGGAAGTAAGTGAGGGGGGCTCCTTGTGCGCAGTGAACGCCGGTCTAGCCTCTGTGATTAATGTTCAGTTGGGGAAGTAAGTGAGGGGGGCTCCTTGTGCGCAGTGAACACCGGTCTAGCCTCTGTGATTAATGCTCAGTTGGGGCCCCTTAGGGGCGGCAGTGTGGGAGCAACCTCTCAAAGTGAGGGGGGCTCCTTGTGCCCAGTGAACACCGGTCTAGCCTCTGTGATTAATGTTCAGTTTGGGCCCCTTAGGGTTGGGGTTCAGCCTTTAGAAGAATAAAAACAAAATTCTCCTTTTTAACTTCCCAATAATAATGATGATGATGTTACCGCTAAAAAGGAAAATAGAAAAGAATCAGTAATTGGAGAATATAAGGAAGATTATGCCAATTGGCCCACTCAATACTGGTCGTCTTCTTGGCATTAGGCCCCAACCGACTCAACTAGCCTATTCACAACTTTCCTTGCGTGATGTCCGATTGGCTCTTACGCGTTTGCTTTTTTTAATTTTTTTTTTTCAACTATGTCATCTAAACGTCTATCATTTGGCCAACTCTTGGGCCAATGGTTGGATGTCATGCCTGGGCCCTGAGAGGCCCAGGTTAGCTCCTTGGGGCATCCACCTCAACGTGCAAGGGTACTAGTTTGTTGCCTCATTTCTTTTGGTGGTGGTATTGACCTTCGAGAGCAGGAAAACCCTCTCTCCTACCATCCAAGTTGCTCCCACAAGTCTTCAAATTAAATTGTTGATTTATTGATCCGACCATCTTGATATATTTTATTGCTTGGTGGAGAAAAAATGGATTTGTAATTTGGGTAGAGTTTAGGAACATGTACTTTTCGTAGCGGTCACACAACTAGCGCCAATGATAAATTTTAATGGACTGAATCCACCATAAAACTAGATTGATGTGAGAAGATAGGGATGGAAAAAGACTATATTACATTCACAGACTCAAAGTCCCTTAAAGCACAATAACTAGATTACAATAGTACAAGTAAAACAAAATAACAATTCAGGTCTAAGTAGTACAATCTTCAAGTTCAACCAAAGTGGGCTTTGACCAACGAGAAAGCCAATTGGAAAGTATCAGCCACTAAGACATACCACAAAGCTAGATCACAAAAACAACCCATTAAGACCAACACCAGAATAGGTAGAGATATTGGGTTAAAAAAATTAATGTCTGGAGATGACAAACCCCCCTACCTTATACTACTCCCAAAGGGCGAAGGGATAAGGCCACCTCGGGTGCCTCACCCCAACGAGCGATCGATAGCCGCTAGTGTTGCTCTATAGTGGCCTGCGCCTCGACCGGTCGTGCGGGGTCTGAGCCCCCTCCCACCGCTCACTTTTTCCTTCTTTCATGCACCTTTGCCCATTTTCTTGTATGCTAAACACATCTTAAGCTATTTGAGCTCTTTTCCATACCTTTGCGCCCTGGCATTCTATATTTATGCTTTACCTCACTTCGGTCCCCAAACTTTCGTCATTCCTCACTTTGCATCATATCTCTCCAGTCTTTGCGTCTTAACATAATAAACTCCCCGCTTGACCTTGTCACCTCATACTTCTAACTTCTTTACATTTTGACCTCAAAACTCTTGATCTACTTGACCTTTGACTCCAAACTTGATCTCTAGGGCTCCAATTACACTTTGCCCAATAAACCTTTGACCAAAAAGACAAACCTTCCCAATCACCTTGAGTCTTAACATTTTCCAAAGTAATTTAATATTTCATGAACCAAACATCCCTAAAGGTAGGATACTTGTATATGAACAACTAGCATGCTCTAAACTAATAAGAAAGAGACATTCGCACCCAAAGAGAGAGAGAGACATTAAATGGGCTGTTTCGGCCCATCTATGTATCTGAATGGATCAAACTTTGGATAAGGACATTGAAATTTGATCAATGGTCCACACAAATTATGTGGTATTTGTGTGGATCATATTTTGCATACTGTAAAATAATGTACATTTAGTAAAAAAATAATGTATATTCAGTACAAAAATAATGTACATTATATTCATGGAATGTACATTATTTTTATTCTGAGTGTACATTATATTGTATAATGTACATTCAGTACAAAAATAATGTAGATTTAGTATATTAAAATGTACTTTTTGTTATGGTCCACATAACATTGTGTGGACCATGGTCCACACAATAATTTGCCAAAGTTGATACGTTATCATAAATAAAATGGGCTTGTTTCCGCTTATCATCCGACGTACTCGGACATAGTAGGTACGTGACGAGTAGTTATGCTGTGCAACCGTGTGCACTATGCATGGTGCACACGGTTGCAAAAACGACGTCGTTTTGACGTTCAACTTAAAAAAAAAAAAATCAGTTTCGATTGTCGTTAACGGCGTTATGTTGTGCATAATTTGAACTATACATCCATAACTTCATAACTATACATTCAGAGTTACATAACTACACATCCATAACTTCGTAACTATACATTCAGAATGTGAAATTATAACTTCATAACTATATATTCAGAATTGCATGAATAACTACACATCCATAACTTCATAACTATACATCCAGAATTGCATAACTACACATCCATAACTTCATAACTTTACATTCATAATTTCACATTATAAAATTATGAACATATGTTTACGTAACTAACGACAATCGAAAAATAATTTTTTAAAAAGTAAAACGACGTCGTTTTTGCATCTGCATTGTGCACACGGATGCACAACATAATTTGCCGTACGTGACAATCCTTATACCATAGACCAGGATTCACAGTGTACTATGGATCCTTGATGCATGTGTACATATTTTATATTGTAAATTTTTGTGTTTTGTGTTATGAAATTTTGCATCTTAGAGTATGAATTTTGTAACTGAAACAAATGAGTAGTTGTGTCTTATTTTATGAATTTTTGTGTATTATATTATGAAATTATATGTCTATAAACACAAATTTTGTACCTAAATCAGATTTGAAAAATAAGTAAATATATAACATGTGTATGTGTCTTATATTGTGATCTTTTGTGTCTTGTATTATAAAACTCTATATCTTACGAGAATGAATTTTATACCTCGTCGTTTTAATCATGAGCGCACAATACTATACAGACCCTGGTCCATGATGTAAATTCCCAGTACGTGATCAATAATCCAATTAAGGTCTATCAAGCATCTCACCTTTTGTCTTTGGTTCATCCAACGCCTATAGAAGTGAATCAAGTGATTAGGTATAATCGTTATCCAATGCTTATTAGTTCAAGTAGCAAGATTGATCATTGATATAAATTTATTTTTAGTACACTGTCTCGCAATACAGTAAAAAATTAACATATAATATATTCAAAAATAATAAATATAATAAATATATTAAAAATGAATTTTTAGTATACTAAAAATAAACTTGCAATATACTAAAAATGAATAAATTGGGTGCTGGACTTGTCCATTGGCCCTTCCGGCCTTAAGATCAAATGCTTATTATTATATAAAAAATTATAACTAATAGCAAATGTGCAATTTTATTTCCTTATACCCGCCTAGCAGCTATAACCACATTTCGAAAAGCGAAATAATGCTGACTTAGCCCTTCATGCCTCTACCACCCAACAACAATAAACCTTTAATACACTAAAACAGAACATGCAGATACTAAAATTGAACGTGTAATACGATATAATTTATGCAAATTTTCATCTCTAAATTTAAAAAATAAGTTAATATGCAAAATTTATCGATAATTTGACACTTGACCTCTATGGTTTGGTTGATTCACAAATAAGGATCGAAGATATGAGTGGCAATAGTTATGCTGTGGAACCGTGTTCACCATGTGTATGATAAACACGGGATAGATTCATTTTCTATGCTGTGGATTACAACACAGAAATTATGGATCTCTATAATTTCTATACTGTAAATTCATAATTTCTATACCGTATTGTAGATTCATAATTTTTATACTGTAAATTCATAATTTCTACAGCATAGCAATTATGTATCTACCCAGGTGTTCACCATGCGCATGGTGAACACGTTTCCACAACATAATTTGCGTATGAGTGGAAGATAGATCGGCGTTGCATCTCGGAATAATTAACCTCCTTTTTGTTTTTGTTTGTTTATTTATTTGTTTGTTTTTTTTTTTTCAAAAAAAAAAAAAAGTCAAATAGGCCTCTGAAGTCTAAACTTTACTAAAAAAAGTCAATTACACTCTTAAACTTTCAAAAATTACAATTACACTCATAAACGTGTTATTTTGAAGCATTAAAGCATTGAAGCACAGAAATCAGTTGGTGACTTATAATTACAGGTTATCTAAGGTTCCGACGACCCTTGCACCATTTTCCGGCAACAATCACCGGTGACCGGAGATCAGACGGTCTCCGATCGCGTTTGGACAATGCGATTAAGTTGGTCGCCTCCTCCAAATGTGACCGGCGATTGTTGCCAGAAAATAGTGGAAGGGTCACCGGAACCCTAAGTAACTTGTAATTACAGGTTATCAATCGATTTCTACGCTTCATTACTTTAAATAACATATTTATAAATTTAATTACAACTTTTAAAAGTTTAAAGACTTAATTAATTTTTTGAGTAAAGTTTAGGGGCTATTTCACCCTTTCCGTCATTGTTTTTCTAAATTGTTACTCGGTAGTAATTTTAAGTTGCGATTCTTCTTGAAATAAGCAGTAATAGCATCATATTTTTATACTTTATTTTGCCCAACCACCATGCATAGCACCATCCATTTCATAATTTCTTCCAATAGTTAATGTTACATTTTTTTTCTTTCCAATGATAAAAAGGGAATTGAAGCTAGCTAGCTGCGGTTATTGATGAGTACAGTGATGAATAATCCACTGCACAGTGAATTGATTATTGAAACTAATTAAGGTTTCCAGGCAGGATCTCTGGGACTGAAATACCTGGCCCTTACATTGGACTCGAGGATTTTGAGGGCAGAAGAATTAGATTTGATGCACCTGGGAGTCTTGTACTGATTGATGGAGGAGCCTTCATTGATGAAGTTGCCCATCAGCAAATCAAAGGTTCCAGGCTTCACCACACGGATCTCCAGCGGGCCTATACACTTGTCGTGGCTTCTGCACCGCCGGTACACGTAGTCCAGTTGTTCTTCGATGGCGATGCAGCAGTCTTGAAGGACCTGTGCATCAATGGCGGCGGCGCCGGCGTGCATGATTTCCCAGTAGATGACGTAGTGACCCGGGACCGATGAGGTGTCTGCGTAACTGGTGTATTCAACTAGCAGCGCCTGGTGAGGCTCCAGAAGCTTCTTCGCCGCCGTGATGCTCCGGTGAAGGTCTTCATCGTTGGTTTTGTCGCTGTCGATGCTCAGCACCACGTTTCTCCGGCAGGTGAATTTGAACTGCGGGGCTTTGTTGTGGAACCCCGCCACTTGCAGCACATCTCCGATCCGGTACCGGTATAACCCTGTTCATTATATTGTTACACATTCAATACGTACGTCATATGTATATAATCCAACATATATGCCTCTCGATAAGAGTGTCATAAATATATATATATTGTTGGCCGGAGGTCGATAGGTAAAGTCTATCATTATGCCTCTCAAAAATGTGACTGTATAATGATATAAACCTGTTCCCTACCCCTTTAACTGTGATGTATAACTTTTGAGGTAATGATAAACGCTTGACTTAACAAGTGATATCAAAGACAGGTTACGGGTTTGTGTTAGGATCATCAAAGGCTATTTACCATTACGTCAAAAAGTCTTTTTGATGATGAGGCTCCATCTTCCAATCTTCGTCACAAGGAATGCTCAATTTTATTTCTTTATATACCTAAGCTTGGCTATAGCTCACAGAGAACAGAGAATGCACTATTTTATTCCCTTATATATCTGGACTTGGCTATAAGCGAACATGCAATGATTGCTGAACTTGGTCCTAGTTGGGGACGGGAAAAACTATGCAGTTAAGGAACTGCAATTACAAGAAAATGTTGTTGATATTGTTAGGGGGAGATTCTTTATTGAGACTCAAAATCATGACCTTCCACTCGAAAAAGTTACTTTATACCACTCACCATAAAATCTTTGGCTAGACCTTATGATATATTTAGTATCTTAACTAGTGATATCATTGTCAAGTTAGAATGGTAAAAATTGTGCAGTTAAGGAAACACGCTTACCGGAAAATGTAGTGACAACCAATTCATAGTAACACCCAAGCCTAACATGTACGAGGTCAACGAGCTTGCTCTGAGGAATTGACTCTTCCTCTTCTTCTTCTCCCTCTTTATTCAGATTCGACAAGAACGTCCCATTTTCCCCCAAGGGTATGAACTCAAAGTACCCCATATTAGGCAAGAGCGTGAAGGCAACATCCGCGGGATCGCTCAGCGGCTTCAAGTTAACTCCGAAGTAACACTCCGACGAAGCATACATGGTACAAATCAACGGCAACTTCCCGTCGCTATAATACCTGAGCGCCGGAACATACTGCGACATGGACCCCGTAATCACCGCCTCAATGTACTTAGCCTTGGGCCAAAGCCGGTACACAATCCCCTTCCACGACGCCGCCCTGCAAATCTCCTCAATCTCGTCCGCCAGCTCCGGGTCCGGCGCCAGAAGGATTTTGGACATGGCGGATCGGCACTCGGAGTCGGCGATCATACCGCTGAGCTGCCCGGTCCTAATGTCGAGGCATAGACTGGGCCAGTTGTGTTGGAGGAAGGAGATGGCGCGGAGGAAGGCGGAGGCGAAGACGGCGCCGAGGCGGAGGACTTGGCGGCGGTAGACGAGGCCGGCGAGGAGCTGGCAATACATGCTTTGGTTGGTGTCGGAGCAGAGAATGGATTGGTCGGGGCTGGTCATGTCGTTGTACGGATCGAAGGATCGGCACTTGAAATGCTTGCTTTTGTAGTAGCTTGTTAGCACCGTCCGGGCCGGTAAACCGCACGGAGTCGACATTTCGGCTTTCACGAAATAAAGATACATCGCCTTTCCCTCGTCCATCCCGGGAATATACCTGAAACGTCATATATTATATTAGACATACATTTCACCTTTAATTTTATAAGATTTGACCCAAATGCATTCCAATTAGATTCTAATTAATGAGTTTTAATTTCTACATATATTCATAATTCTTACTCTATCTATCACTTTTATTTCATGATGTATCAAACACTGCACGGATAGACTATTTTTCTTATGTTGGTCCTAATAATAAAATAGAGCAATATAATACTAGACTAGATACTGTCGAATTTTTCCTTCCAATTCATTCCTCACGATATGACCGGCAAGATCTAATTGGCAATTAAATGATATTTTTAATTAATGTTGGGTTATCAATGAATGAAAGTCATATCAAAAGGTAAAATCATGGAGAAGAAATTTAGAAGGGGAATAAAGCATTTTTCATAAAAATATCTACATAAGAGCACTCCATCAATGATATTTTTTTTTTTTTTTTTTTTTTTTGCATTGTTGGCCAGAGAGGAAAGAGAAATGAGGAAAAGACACATTTTTTGGTGGGTATTGGGAAAATTTTAAAAACAAAAATTGCCCATGTTGTGTCTTTTGCGCATCAGCTATGTCTAGTAGGCGTGTGAATGTCTAGTAGGCGTGTGAAGTGCACACGCCAATTGCGCACATAAATTGAGCTGTTTTTTGTTGGATAGCAAATCCTATTTTTCCTCTGCTAATTAATTAGCTTTAAAAGTTGAGCAAAGAAACTTCACTCTTGGAGATGCTCTAAATTAAAGATTTTAAACGTGAAAGCAAAAATTATTAGGAATGTAGAATGTGAGCCTATATAATATTTTTTAGTCCTAAATATACCTTTTTCCTGTCCCAAAATCACATGCATGTTTACAAAATATATAGATGATATATGGATAGAATGTATATATGGTTGTGGATGGAATTAATAATCAGACCGCAATTACTAAAAGGAATTGAAAGGAATGCAATGTCATGTCACAAAATGTGTCCACTCATGCACGAATTGGTCTATGTGGGTTCATTGTCAATGAAACTAACTTTTTCATGCATGAAATATATATATAATGCTAAACAAAACCAAAACATATATAGTATAATAATAATAAAAAAAAAAGATGGCGATTTAACTGGTCCATAATCGGCATAATGAGATTGTAAAGAAACGTCCGCCGATCAAGATCCTCAGCGATTGACGGCATCAGCTTTGGCTCTCCCCCTGAAGTTCCTGAGCTGTTCACGTTATCAAAAAGGACACATCAGAACGAGACCATGAAAGAAAGTGTTGCGTGGAAGCCCGTAAAGATCAAGTCTAATGGTGTCTGAAAGATTTTTGGGCCATAAAAGGCTTAAAGGGTCAAGCCCAATACCTTAAAAATGTGTGGGTGTTGAGCATATAGCCATTAACGTGCAATTCAATTAAAAGCTTAACACACCTCCTCACGTGTGCGATGGGTTCCAAGCAACATGTGGATGGTAGATACCAAATTGAAGCATGTGCTTTATCTCAACTAAAAGTTTAAGCTGATAGTTGGATTGCACGTTAATGACTATATGCTCAATACAGTATAAGAAAATAAAGTTATGTCATTGCTACTGGCTACAGTTTTTGACATAAGTGGAGAAAGCAAGAATGAATTGAACCTGCAGAGCATCTCAGTTATGGGTTGACCGGTGATGGGGCTGAAGTGGTCACCGTTGGCAATTCTGAGAATGTAAGGCCTGATATCCTCGTACGCGATCACAGGCACACAACGTTTGAAATCCGAAACCAAATCTTCTTCTACTGATGAAGAAGAGGAATTATTCTTGTTTTTCAAGTTGTACTTGTTCAAATACTCACACCCGCCATTCATCTCCATTATTCTTTTCAGAATTTCTTCTTGAACCTCTCCGGCGTTCGACGTTAGCCTTTCAATCTCTTTCAACGCCTTCTCACCCTTGTATTCCAACTTCTTCCCGTCCATCATAATCATATATCTGATAAAAAATACAGGGAATAATAAAAAAGCAAAATGAAGATCGAGAGAACAAGGAAGACGAAGGAGAATAGAGAGGGTAGAGCTGAGAGAGAATTGAGAGAAAAGAAATATCAATAGATATATATATAATGGTTTGAGGTTTACCTAATGGATACACTATTTAGGATTAGTAGGTTTCTCTTATCACAAGGTTTAATCAAATCTCCGACAGACCATTTAGGAGGATGTAAATCATGATAATTCGATCAGTTGTTCTCTCATCACAAGGTTTAATCAAATGTGCAACAGAACATTTAGGAGGATGTAAATCATGATAACTCGATCAGCTGAAAACATAAACTAAACTTTTGCTTACTGCGCATAAAGATCTCCTCATCATCACTTTGAGAGGTGAGACTCGATCCCAAGTCATTGTTCTTGATCAAACTTCATTTATGTGACCAATTAAGGTGCCTATGCGAACATTTCAGTTCCAAATTTGAAAGCTGGGTTGGCTTTGCAAGTAGTTACGCTAGAGTTTGAAATTTTGTTACAATTCACCATCACGATACCCTTTTAAAGTAGGATCACAATCAAGAGCAAAACATATAGGAAACGAAATTCTTCATATAGTGCGATTATAATATTGGTATATGGAAGTCGCTTTCCGTTTGGATGTGCAGTCTGTTTCCGCAACGTGCTAGGCTACACCCATGCAAGTACAAAAATGAGCCATATTACATAACTGTATATAACTCCTAATAATAATTTAATTACTTTTAGCCGAGTTAGATAATCTTTATATTTTAATTAAATTATATCCGAGTTACATAGCTCTTCAAATGTATTAAATATGACATAATTTTAAAAGATATTTTGTTGAAAAATAACAGTTGTTATTATAGACTTAAGGTATTGATTTTATAAAAATGTAGTTAATAGATTATACACATGTAATTAACATATTATATACTAGTAGTTTAAATATTAAGACTAGTTTGCACATCAACGCGACCCAATGACGTAAAATGAGAGAATACCATTGGCTAACCGTAACCACACCAACTATCACCCTTCACTTTATTAAATGATATCATATTGGGTCATGATTGTTAGCATATTATTATTTCATCTTATTATCTTTGTATATTATATAGTTTATATTATGTGGTAGACATATTAGATTGTTAGACCTGTTCTATTAGTCAGGGTTTGTTAGAGTCCTTGTAGTGATATACTTTGTATTCTCTACTGATTCAGTTATCGAATGAAAGCTATTCTCTAATCTGGTATCAGCCAGGATATCGGTCTTTCATCTACCTCCATCGTAAAATTACCCCATCTTTCCCGTAAAACTCATCGTACCATCAGAATGTCTACCAACTCATCCGAACGTACGGTTTCCGCTGCCGGCTCACCATCTCCGGCCCGCGGTCCTTTTCTCGCCGGCGCTCACCATTACGTGACGATGAAACTCACGTCACGTAATTTCTTGTTTTGGCGCGCACAGCTGATTCCCTTTCTCCGGGGTCAGGAACTGCTGTGTTTTGTAGATGGGTCTCTTCCGTGTCCACCGAAGACCGTCACAGCTGCTCCACCGTCTGAGGGCTCGTCGGCAGGCACTACCACGACGAGCATCGTCCCCAATCCGGAATACCGTGCGTGGGTGAAACAGGATCAATCGATCCTGTCTCTCCTAATTTCATCCATGTCGGATGAAGTGTTATATCTTGCGCTTGGCCGAACCACATCTGTGGCAATCTGGGAGTCCATCACGTCCGCCCTTGGGTCTTCAAGCCAAGCTCGTTGCCTTAATCTCCTCGGGCAATTCCAGATGCTCCACCAAGGCAACTCCACGACTGCCGACTACCTAGGCCGAGCAGGGGTCCTTGTCGAAGCTCTAACCCAGGCCGGTCGACCGCTCTCTTTAATGGAGCAAAATCTATATCTGCTCCGCGGACTTCGACCGGAACTAAAAGCTATGGCGGCGTCCTTCACCTCCGGTAATGCAGTGCCGCTATCGCACCTCTCGAACTATCTTCAGGCGCACGAATTCATCCTGGTGGATGACTACCCCATTGGCGACTCCACTGTTTCGCACTCGGCTTTCTTTGCAGGACCCGACCGTGGCTCATCCAATGGTGGCTGGCAGTCGTAGCAGTCCGGTCGTGGTGTTGGTGGACGTCGCGGCGGGCAGAATCGGGGCGGTGGTCGCGGCGGCCGCGGAGGTCCGCGGTGTCAAATATGTCGGAGGTACTGCTATAAGAGGTATCACCCGCAACCCCCACCCCAGGCGATATGGCAGTGCCGGCAGATGTTCCCGCTCCGGTACAGGCTCCGGCCGATGGGTGGTATCCGGACACCGGGGCCACCGCACATGCTACGCTGGACGCGACTATGATGGGACAGTCGGAGGAATACGGCGGATCGGACGTGCTTCGCGTGGGCAACGGCGCAGGTTTGGTTATTTCACGTGTTGGTCGCGCATCAATCCCATCCGTGTCAAAATCCCTATGTTTGAATGATATATTACATGTCCCGAGTCTCTCAGGTCCTTTATTATCTGTGCATAAATTTGCTGTTGATAATAAAGTTTATTTTGAATTTCATGATTCGTGTTAACCGTAACCACACTAGCTATCACCCTTCACTTTATTAAATTATATCATATTGGGTCATGATACACCGTATAAGCGGGCAAATTATGCTGTGAGCACGTGCTCACCATGCGCATAGTGCAGACGAATCTATATTCATAATTTCTATACTGTATATACATAATTTCTATACTGTATATATATAATTTCTATACTGTAGATCCATAAATTTCTAGACTCTTGGTGAGCTAAAATTATGAATCTAAAGTATAAATTTTAGCTCACCGAGAGTCTCAAAATTATGGATATACGGTATAGAAATTATGGATATAGATTCGTAGTTAGAAATTATGAATCTAAAGTATAAATTTTAGCTCACCGAAAGTCTAGAAATTATGGATATACAGTATAGAAATTATGGATCTACAGTATAGAAATTATGGATATAGATTCGTGGTTAGAAATTATGAATCTAAAGTATAAATTTTAGCTCACCGAGAATCTAGAAATTATGGATATACAGTATAGAAATTATGAATCTATAGTATAGAAATTATAGATATAGATTTCTGCGCACCATGCAAGGTGAGCACGTGCTCACAGCATAACGAATGTGGAATGGTATAAGCGTGGGTGGACATGATTCCAATTTCCAAATTAATGCATCCACCTTGCTTATAACATATATTCCAAAACATTTACAACTAGGGAGTGTTTTGCTAAAAAGAAAAATAGTGATGCGTAACGGAAGAACATACATAATCCAATACGTCAAAAAATGCAACAAGCACTACATTTTGAACCCCAACTACCATATATTCTTTATTGTGGACATCGAGATTATATTGCTAGAGAATAAATATTTATGGTACATTTAGAGAGTTGAAATGTTTGGATGACGAAATTCTCCGTACGCTAATTAAGAGCTATGGTTTCTTCTTCTTTGTTGGGTCTATGACAAACTAAATTAAAGAGCACATATAACTATACGAGAAATGACAAAATATTAAATCAACGAGGTTCTTGTTTCTAAGCATCAATTCTCATCATTCTCAGCTCTTCATTAAGGGGGACAAAGAATATGATGTCTCTCTCACACAAAATGTTTAAACTAACCTAATTACATTTAATTTAACTTTTTTGTTTTTGTTTTTTTTTTTTTTGTTTTTGTTTTTATTTGTTTTTTGTTGTTTGTTGTTTGTTGTTTGTTGTTTGTTTTGTTTTGTTTTTTTGTTTTTTTTTTTTTGTTTTTTTTTTGTTTTTTTTTTGTTTTTTGTTTTTTGTTTTTTTGTTTTTTTGTTTTTTTTGTTTTTTGTTTTTTTGTTTTTTTCTTTTTTGCGTAACAAACCTGTGGTGTCGGTTTGGCATTAGCTTTAAAGTTGGCTAAAATTTGGAAATGCTAGTTTTTAGATGTTGTTAAGATAATCTTATCATTTTTTTTTTATTTTTTTTTTTTGTGTAACAAACCTGTGGTCTCTGTTTGGCATTAGCTTTAAAGTTGGATTTTTTTTTTTTTTTAAAGTTGGCTAAAATTTAGAAATGCTAGTTTTTAGAAGCTGTTAAGATAATTTATCTTTTTTATTTTTTTTTTAAATTTTAATTTTTTTGGTTGTTTTTTGTGTGTAACAAACCTTTGGTCTCCGTGTGGCATTAGCTTTAAAGTTGGCTAAAATTTGGAAATGCTAGGTTTTGTGTGTGTAACAAACCTGTGGTCTCTGTTTGGCATTAGCTTTAAAGTTGGCTAAAATTTGGAAATGCTAGTTTTTAGAAGTTGTTAAGATGGGTTAATGATTATATGAGTGTTTGGTAAAATTAATATTTAAGGTTATATTTGAAAATAGATAAAAGGTCAAATAAATTTGTAAACTTCTTTATATATATATATATATATATATATATGTGTGTGTGTGTGTGTGTGTGTGTGTGTGTGTGTGTGAAATTAATTTGAGTAGGGTTCACTTTTTCAAATATAACCTTAAATATTAAATATTAATTTGAGTAGGGTTCAATTTTAAAAAATTTAAATGACCACTTTAAATTGTATAGCATATAGCCTCTCTCTCTCGCACGCCAATTATTCGTCCAAAAATTGGTAGCCAAGACAAGCTAAGTGACGGTAAATAAGTTACCGGAGAATATAATATATGAGTAACAATTTGTATAGCTAAGTATTTCAGTACCAGAATTAGAACGTGTCCCCTCCATGTGACATGGGCTCATCTTTGATACTATATACTTGTAACGATTACAATAATTGTACAATGGCCTCCTACTAAATGCAACAGCTGATTCCTTAGTAAATTGAGGCGCCCTCCTCTATAAGTGCGCTGGCCGTTCAGAAATCCTCTCTTTGATGAGGCGGTGCTCTTAATGCGTGGCCTCTCTTGTAACTGTTCACCTGTTCTCTCTGCTTTTGACTGTCATAATGCTTTGATGGGTTAGATCAAGTGTACCGAGTAAGATCCAGTACCTTGTCCAATTATATTGTGACTAAGGTCTTATTGTTCACGCCTAAAATTTGAGTTAATTCTTATTAGTTTAGGAATTGGATTTGTAACATTTGATTAATTATTCATTTGCCAGTATGACTTATGAGTAGTTTTGTACACTTAAAAATTCTGATTTTAGTCAAGTGTTTATGTTGTTGGTATCGTCAAAAAGGTCATTTAATATCATGCATGTATTACTTTTACGAGATGGGCTTAAATGGGTAGGAGATTTAATCGAAACAATGGAAAAAAATTATATACAAGATTTATATAACGAGTTATATTACATTTATTTTCATTCTTATTCATTGTTTACTTACTATTGGCATGGTAATTCACCCACAAAATGATGAGCTACAATTTTTTTTTTCTTTTCATTTTTTTATTTTTCAATAAAATTAGAACATGTGCTCGCTAGGGTTATTAATATTTGAGTTTTTTTTTTTTCCTTTCTCAAAATGGTCCATCGGCTGTTGCTCATTCTCAATTTTGCATATCGACTTTTAATTGCATCAAATATGGTCTCCTGACTTTCAAAAACTCGCCTAATTCAGTTCTCCGTTAAGTATTCCATCTACTCAACGTTAAAATGGAGCGCATTTTTGTCCGTTCACTTATTTTGCACCAAATATACACTGCGAAATAGTTGAGAGACCATTTTGAAAAAAAAAAAAAAAACTCTTTTGTTTATTTCATTTTTGTTTTAGACTCTATCAAACAAAGTAATATTATATTCTCATAATCCAAACGAAACACATAAAATACGTAATCTTAAATTTTTAAAATCTCAGGTAACCTTCCTTTGAAGGTAATCCTATTACATGCGGTAATCCAAGATTCTATGAACCAAACGGCCCTTGGAGTAATATAAAATTACCAAGATAATATCACAATTGAATCAAACAATGTCATATAACATCACCATACTGTTATATATTGATTCTTGACAAGTACTAAGTGTTCAATTTCAAAAAGAGTAATAATAGTTATTACTTAAAATATTATATTACCTTTTTTTTTTGGCTTATAATTAAGCAATAATATTGATATAACATTTAAGTCAAAACTTTAACTCCATAGCATAATTGACCCTAACTTAAATACGATTATCGTATCAAATATCTTCTACTTTAAAATTTGTTATTTGCTTATTCAATTATTGCTTTTTCAGTTGAAACATAATATCCTTGAAAATCTATTACTTTTAAATAAAAGTAACATTAAAAAAAAATTAAAACCATTTTTTTAATGATCAAAACTCATTTTCCTAAAAGTGCCTTTTCCTTTATATATATAGCACATTGATTAGAAGAATAAGTTGAAACAAAAGCAAATGAAATCTAAATGAGAACTATACAATCCAGAGAGTGTTGCTAGCAAACAAAAAAAGCAGCTCAAAGCACAGTGTGTGGCGAGGAACATATGATGACTTGGTTTTTAATTTGCTGTAGCAGATGAGAGCTGAGGAGAAATAATAATAATAATAATAAATAATAATAGTAGTAGTAATAATAATAATAATAATAATAATAATAATGGGGGGCTGAGAATATAATGATGGAAACAAGATGCCAAAGAATTTGTGTCAGGAGGAGCTGAGCTGGGCATCCTTATCGGGTAAGGAAGGAAGAAAGGCGTCATCATCATCAACTTGCATATCATTTCGTTCATGCATCAATATCAATTTAAGTCCTCTCTATTCTCTGTGGTTGGTGCTCGCCGCATCGATGAAGGACAACTTTTTTTTTCTCTCTTTACTTGGCAACCGGTGAACGACATTTTGCATGTACTACGCCCAAGGGACACACATCCATCACTCCCACTTTTCCATGTCTTCTAATTTCTAAAGATATGCCACCATCATATCCACCGTGTGCCCATCTGTTAAGGAAAGAAATCACAGAAATCACAAGAAATCACAGAAATCACATATTTCTTCTAGCAAATATTTTCTCTTGTAATCTTGGTTTCATTATTATTATTCTTATTGATTCTATTTCCTTTCTCTGTACCTTATAGTTTGTATATATAGGGGTGTACATCTTCTGTAATGAAAGACAGAGAATATTAGA